TTCATATTTCTTTCTGGGTGTACAAAAGGGAGGGTAATGCATCAGGTGATGCTGAGCAGAAAGGGGACAGGCAGAGCAGAGCTGCCCCCCAGCTCTGGGGTGCCACAAGCATCAGAGCAACTGGGCAAGGTGGGCCAGTGTGGAGGAGCTGCCCCAGGAGGTCTGACTGAAAGTGACAGCTCAGCACCCACCCTTGGCCCTGCAACGTCTGGCCCATGTCAGCATTTCCTGGCCAGGCATGGCAGTGATGATAAAGCCACAGGTAGTGTGAGCCCAGATTGGTCCTAAGACCACATTTGGGATTGACACTTATTTAGGAGAAGGACCTTTTGCTCTTACACACAGAAGAGTGAAAGCAGCCAGGCTGTGGCCTCTGGCTTCTCATCAGTATGCAAAATTATAATGAACATTCACTGTAATTTTAAGCTCCTCCTTTGAATGAGATTTTTATATCCTGCATTTCCTCTAGGATATGTTTTTTCTTTAATCAGCCCAGGGCAGGTTTTTCAAAAAGCCCTTCTTAAAGCTCTACCTCTTGATTTTCACTACCCTTTCTCTCACTCCTCTCCAGCGTTTTTCCCTAGGCTGTTCACAACATTTTGTGGGGCAGCTCAGTCCTCAGGCCTGGCTTACAGTCCCTGCACAGCCCCTAAAGCCCTGCATGACCTTTCTCACCTCTTCTCCCTCCGCCTGACTTCTGACTCTGTAAAAGAGGGAGAGAGGGATGCTGCAGCCCTTCTGTAGTGAACTCTGGACACACCAGAGAAAATGTGTTTCCCTTATTACTGCAAGCTGAAGAAGTCTTTGGAAAAAAAAATTTAAAAAAAAAAAAAAAAGTCCCATGCTGAGCTCAATTTCATCTGGTCTCATCTGTTGTTAGAGCAGTATGACATGTCCTCAGTTAACAAAGATGTCTGCAGAAGCATGTGCAAACCCTGCCAGGCTGCAAGGCACCAGGCAGAAGTCCATGCTCTGCATTGAGCCAAAGTAATGGAAACTACAAGAAACAGCATGGTCTCGTGACCATGACTGTGGCATTTGGATTCAATTCAATGCAAGGTTCAGAGGGTGCCAAACAGTATGAAATGAGACTAATCTCAGAGATGGAATAAAGCTTCATACAAATTCAAAGGAAGGAAGGAAGGACAGAGTGCTGCTGAGCTTCACAGATGTGAAGCTTCACAGAACCCAGTTCACATAATAACATCTAACCTTAAGTCTTTGCAAATTTAAGGGAGCTATAAAGGAACCAAGACAAAACTAGTCACGTCTCTCAACCCCCTGGAGAAAGAGCACAAGATGAATCAATCTAGCCTAGAACAGTTCCTTAGAGAAGGTCAGATGACAGTGGGGCTTAGCCAGGAGGCAACAAGTGTCAAAGAATGTGGGATCAGTCAGGTCAAAGGCTACAGATAAACCCTCCAACGTTAAACTAATTCATTGACATTATTATTAAACTGGTTTGATGACAACAGGGTTATGAAAGACTTAATCAGGTTGCTGTCATTTGAATAACCAACTTTAAATCCTGAATGACCAGGGTCCACCGGATATTAACAGTGGAGGAATTACGTAAGTGGGACTCAGCAAAGCACATGACAGATGCTGAGCAGCAGAGACTGAAAGTTAGAGCTGCAGCATGATGCTAAGCAAAGAGAATAAGGAGAAGTGGAAATCATAGTTTCCTACATCACACCTTCTACTCCATAAATTACTGCTGGAGAGAGAGAAAAAAAGACTTTCTTAGCAGTTAAAAACACAGAAAACCAAACCAGACTTTTTGCCTTCTTGATGAAAACGAGAACATCCAAGGAAGTCTGACCTGGTAGCATTGATGATAGAAAAATAAATGACAGAAATTACTCTGCACCTGTTCCTTCAGCAGTAAGTGTGCCTGAGGCTCTACTCTTGGCAGAGGATGCTCACCCTCTGCCAGAGCACTTATTCAGTGCAAAGCTCACCCAGCCCCCTCTGTGGATGTCATGGGATGAGCAGTGTGGCTAGGCAGGAGGGTGATACCTGCAGGCAGCTGCAATTGCACTGGTGTTCACACTCTGTGTGTCTTTTAGCTGATGGCAACAGGTAAAAGTCTTCATGTTTCAGAAACAGGCATTGCATGAAGCCTAATAATGGTACCTGGAAGAAAATAGTGTTCAGTTCTAACATGTTGCCAGTCTGTGCATCACTCATGTCACGCTGTCACCTTGAAATCTTGCCTGGTTATGCAGAGAGATTGTAGAGAGATACCTGCAGACTGCAGGAGCCTAATGGTTTCCAGGGGTAGCCAGCTGAGAAGTAATGGCATTTGACCTGACATCTGTCTCTCAGACCCAGGAGACATCTACCCTATTGTCTGGGCCAGGAGAGGGCCAGTGGACTAGAAACTTGCTCATCCTGAGACTGTTATCGTGGAGGAAGGGCTTCATTACTCAGGGCTGTCTTGCATAGCTTTAATGTCACACTGTATCTGTTGAAACAGGGTGCCAAATGAAAATGTGCACAGCCTGGTGTTGCAGCCTCTCAATGCCTGTGTTCACCAGCTGCTCAGGAGTTGTTAAAATCTACCCTGCTTTTATTCAGTGGACCAGCCCATCTAAGGAGCAAAGCCATTCTAGGTTAGTAGTTCAAATGCTGCCCGTTGCTTTCCTGAGCTAGGAGCAACATGTTGTTGGTGTCTGTCCATAGTGGAGTATCACAATACCTGTGTTTTCCTCTCCTCACACCTATAACACTCCCTGAGTATCCACAGAAAGCAGCACCAAGTGAGAACAAGCTCTTCTCACTGCTTTCAAAAAGGGATTTCACACTAAGAGGGCAAAACTGCTTGAAGTCCTTTTCTTTGTAAAACACTTGAGTGGGGTAGGTGTGTAAGTGATACGTATGTCTGTGTGTTTCTGACCTTCCAGACAGGAGATCCTCAGGGATAAGTCCATTATTCTTAACATGTGATTCAATAAGTGTTGTGTTTTTTAATGAGAAAAGAGACGTTTTACTAGCATTCTGAGCTATTCCTCTTTTGTCCACCTGCCCTCTCCAGGCACCATCTCTCCTGGGCAGTCTCAGTGCCTCCACACCAAGGCTGAGGCCTCAGAGGTGCAACATGAAGTAGCCCACACATTTTTGCATGCAGCTGAACTCTGAAAAGCTGAAATTCCCTGAAGTGATGTGGTTACTCTCCTTAGGTCATAGCAGGGGTGTTGGTGCATGTCTAGGACACAGCACATTTCCTTCCCCAGTCAGCACATTAGTCTGGTGTATGAGAACATCCCTTAGCCCACACAGAGTTGTCATGGATTTAGTAAATTCCAGGTTTTGCGACTTTTTAAACTTGAGATGTTGGATACAACGTGTCCCTGGGTTTGTGTTGGTACTTAAAAGCCTTTTGCCTGCCTTAGCCCCTTAGCTGGGCTCCTCACTTGACTACATGTATTTGATAGCTGGGCAACTACACTAAACTAATCTGTGAGTGTCAATCTCTTGGCAAATGAAAGACACAGTCAAGTCCAGCAGGATCATATGGATGAGTACACAGCGAATCACTTTCTAGAGGTGCTGATCTTCTGCACTGACCGCAGAGAAAGCTGAGATGAGAAGCTTGGTCTGTATTCTGCAGACCTAAAATTCAGTCAAATGACAGCATCGTTTGGAACACTAGGCCTATCTCTTCTCACACATTTGGACAGCATCCATACATTTGGACAATGGGAACTTGGTCTCAGCGGGGATCCTGCAGACATCAACAATGGATGCAATTATGGGAAATAAACATGGGAGTATATGCTCTGAAAAATAAAGCTTTCCTAACAACACTGCTGTGAAAAAAAGCAGAACAGAAAGGAGCTTATTCTGTTTCACCTAATTGCTCTCCATAAATCACCTCTTGGTGGCAAGCTCGACTGGTCCACCAAAGAGCCAATTAAAGCAGAGGGAGGCTGAGCATTCTTTATACTCAGGGCTGTGTTTTGTATTACAGGAACTGTAATTTGTTCCAAGAGGGTGGCATCTCTTCCCTTTCCAAGCAGGGAGGAATGTCCATGCTCATCTGGCTCTGAGCCTTGCCGTTATTCCCTAAGAGCATCCATGGCACATTGAATGGCACCCTCTCCAGCACAGTGTTTTTCTGTCTAACACGAGGTATGATGCTGCAGGTAAGAGATGGGCAGAGGAAGAAGCACAGTGACAGATGAAAAAGGTCACGAAACCTGGAAATCAGTGGCAAGTATGTATGTATTTGTTTCTAAAATTCTGTGTTACAATACACAGAGAGCTCCTTCAATGCACAGCCCATTAAAATCTCTCCTTGGGATAGCATTTTCTGACAGTTTCCCTAGGTTTGCCCTGCTGTTTCGTACCCATCCTGCTCGGAGCCCTCCCTGTGATCTACCACCACCCCTCCTGCACACACCCAGCCCTTGCCCTGTAGCCAGATCCCTCCCCATGGAGTGGCCCAGCCCCTGGCCACCTCCTGGCCCTGTTGTCCCTCCTCTGGTGTGCCATCTATGGGAACACCACCTGCCTGCTGGGATGGCCTCACACCAGCCATGACAGGCTGCTCTCCCACCTGTCAGGAACAGCCCTCACACCCTGACATGAACCTCGTGTTTCCCTCCCAGGGCTTGCCACCCCATGATGGAGGGCTCTGGCTGGGAGCTGTGTACCCTAAAGCCAGCCCTGGCCCCACAGCAACCTCCTGTCCAGCCGTGCGGGCTGGGGAGTGGCCTCAGACCTTGCTCACACCCTGGGCTTGGCTGTCCTCTTCCCCTCCCTGTTTACTTTCAGGGTGTTTGCTGCTTTTTGGAGCAGCCAGCAGGTCAGTCTCAAGGAGGTGTGGCAGGGGAGGGCTGGAGGACACCACCAACTTCCACGCAGCACACCCCTTTCCTCCCCCTTCTCCTTCGCAAGGCACTAGAGGTGTTTTTGCTCCTTCCTGTTCCTCCCATTCTGCCCCTACTTCTGCCTCCAAAGCCTGCTCAGGACCCCCCTGGCAGGTGGAGGCAGCCATGCCCTACCTGCACCGGGACTCGAAGCCGCGGCCGCCGGCGCTGCCCAGTGCCGCCCGTGCCACCCACGGCTCGGGGAAGGGCTTCGAGGAGCTGCAGCAGGAGTGCCTGCGCAGGGGGGTCCTCTTCCAGGACACCGACTTCCCCGCCTGCAGCTCCTCTCTCTTCTTCAGCGAGAAGCCGCCCATCCCCTTCATCTGGAAGAGGCCCACGGTGAGTGTGCGTGTTGCGCAGGGGAGGGCGAGTCTTGCTCTCCTCTCAGCTTGCCAAGATCTAGGTGCTGCTGTGCTTTGGGGTGGCACCAAACGTGTGGCACGTCCAGGGAGATGTGCAGGCCAAGGGCAGGGGGAAGCTCTTCCCACCTCAGGGGCAGCGGTGTGCGGTCAGAATGGCACCCAAAACCAGCTCAAGCTGCGGGACCAGAGGGCCGGAAGGCTGCGCCCCATCTTTTAGATGTAGCTTGTTCTGTGGCCACACTTTATGCATGTATATTTATGTACATGCATAAACAACTTGTAAGCAGCCTTCTCTTATGTTATTGCCAAACAGAAGTGATGTTAAGATGAGAATAAGAGGACACGCAAGAACTTAAGGGTAAAATAGATTATGATGTTCCAGCTGTGTAAAAATCAAGTGTCGTTAATGTAGGAAATTCATTATTAAGGCTAAACTTTAAAAATTAGATCCTTTTAACTTTTAGAAACTTGTATTTGCTCCCTTCTGTCGTGAAATATGGAGAGATTAAGAATACATGCCATGGTTACTGAGCCATTCAACAGTAGCCAAGGGCTTGATGAGTATCTCTTAATGCATCTTGCATAACAATCATTAATAACACAGCAAGAGCCTGAAGCTTCACTAGTCACATGCTCTCAGATCACAAACACAACATTATTCCAGCTTTCTTCTCCCCAGTTAACCCTGTAACTAATAGTCACAGAAAATTTGTGGCTACATCTCATTTCTTTGTCAATGACTGACACTTATTCTATTTTTCGTCAAAATCTGAAAGCTTCTCCTTTAGTAGAAAACTTTCCTTTGTAAACAGTCATACCAAGAGAAAAAAAAAAATAAATAAACAGGCTTAAAGATGGGTTTAAATTTTGGCTTAACTTAATCCACAATGATAGCCATTCAAACGCCTCAGCATCAGTTGGTGTAGTGCAGAAGATAATTAAAGCTATTACTCCTGGACAATGTTCAGCTATGAAAAAATGGGATATCCCTACATGTAAGTGCCCTGCAGGTACTATCCCAAAACCCAGGTGGCCTGTAAGCCTGAAGCATTTGCTGGGTTAATTGCCACAGCTCTGATGGTGAAGCTGTGGCACTGGAGAAGATGAGAACAAGAGCCCTGTGTCTGTGTAGAGTATCTGTGTTCAAACTGCTTTTCACAGTGACTGGCTTTACTGCCTCTCCTACCAGTATTTTACAGGAACTCAAATGAAGTGTAGCACAAGACTTGTGGGTAATTGCAGGGACAAATAATGTTGGCTTTCAGATGCACACACTGCTAGAGTTTCATCTTCAGTAATAGGAGAGAAGGCTTTCTTATTATTTTGACATGCATATACCTGCATGTATACACATTTGTATGCAGAGTGAGCAGGACCCTCAGCCAGCCCTAATCTGTAAATCTCCCACTTCAATCAGTGAGCTACATGGATCTGCACCAAGTTAACATCCCATCTTCTACATAAACCTTAAGTGCTCTAAGATTCAGAAAGATATTTATTGATTTTGTTTAGCAATCTCTTTTTATTGCAAATTAAACCTTTGAAACTGCACCTTATCAAAGTTTTTAAATAATCTGAAGAACAAAAGAACTCATTATATTCCTTTCCTTTCTATCTTAATTTATATCTAAATTCAACTGCTTGGATAAATTAAACATCTCAGTGTCTGGGAAAGTTAGACATACAAGTTGAAGAACAGAAAAAAACCAAACCAAACAACAACAACAAATCCAAACTCCAAAAAAGGAGAAACAAGTATGTTTTACCAATGCCAAATGAGTCTATGTTCTACAGGAGGAAGTAAGAAGGAAATTCTCCTAATCTGAATGGCCACAGGTAATTGGTATGACAGGTACTGCATCCTGGAACCAGGCAGGGAAATGTAAGCACAGAAATAATGCCACCTAAACAGTCTCACCCTCACTCTCTCTTAGGTTTCCTTATGCCCCCCTTACCAATGTGAGGCAGAGGCACCGGGGTTGCAATTTTCTTTTTAGTCTAAAGAAACACAGCTTTGATGTAGCATCAGGCAAATCATGGGTCTCCTTGTTTTATCTCTCTGAGGATTGCATGTCTCTGCTTCCAGGCAATATCCTCGTGCAGGTGAATCCTTCAATTTCTGAATGCTGTGTGTGGATGCAAGATCCATCTCTGGATTTTGTCCTTCAACATGCCAAAAGCCCTGGTACACATTTTATACCATCCAGTCTGAGAATCCCTTGTCAATTAATACTAGTTTTGCAACATCCACTCAAAAACTGTAGAGCACTGTTTTCTCTTGCATAGCAGAGAACAAGGCAGGGGTCCAGTCAGAATCCTTTCAATTCCTTTTTATTTTTTAATCTTTTGTTTGCTTTACATAAATATTTTTCCACATACCAACTGTAAAGCAGTATAATAAGCAGTGAGCTAGGAACCTAAGGTTCAGACCCATGTCAGTGGAAAGGTATTTTATCTTCTCTCTTGTTAAAACATGGGGTTTCTTGGTGACAGCTAAATACAGTTCTTGCCATGCAAATTCTGTTCCCCAGGAGCAATGATGCTCTAAAACAAGGTGTGTTATTAAAGATCAACTGCTTTATCAGCCATTGTTATATTGATGCCTAAAGGCAATGAGCTTCATTTTTTATTGTTCACGGCCAGTCCCAGGAAGACTGAGTGTATTTAACAAGCAGGTGGGCCAGGTAAGGAAGAGCTGCTGTTTGGTTTCCCTTTGCTCTACACACTGGGGACATGACACGCTGCAGTGCCTCCTCCTCAGGGCACCTGTGGCTGAGCCACATCCTGGCTGCCACCTCCTCCCCAGCACAGGCAAATAAAAACTATGCAAACCGGCTTCATCCTCAGTATTGCCCCTGCAGGGTGAGCTTTGCGGGAGCTATGCAGATTCGCTGAGGAGAGTGTCCTGGCTCCAGCAGTGGCCCCCACTAAGTGCTTCAGCAATAAGCGCCAGAAGCCGAATGAAAGAATCAATATCCTGCCCTGATTGCCTCACAAAATGCAGTGATCTGAACCAAAAGCAATTCAGTTTCCATCTAGGCAAATGCAGGAGTCAAATGACTGAATGTGGTGTTCTATTTTCCCACCGTGTTTCATTCCCCCCACATGACACGCTGCAGTGCCTCCTCCTCAGGGCACCTGTGGCTGAGCCACATCCTGGCTGCCACCTCCTCCCCAGCACAGGCAAATAAAAACTATGCAAACCGGCTTCATCCTCAGTATTGCCCCTGCAGGGTGAGCTTTGCGGGAGCTATGCAGATTCGCTGAGGAGAGTGTCCTGGCTCCAGCAGTGGCCCCCACTAAGTGCTTCAGCAATAAGCGCCAGAAGCCGAATGAAAGAATCAATATCCTGCCCTGATTGCCTCACAAAATGCAGTGATCTGAACCAAAAGCAATTCAGTTTCCATCTAGGCAAATGCAGGAGTCAAATGACTGAATGTGGGGTTCTATTTTCCCCCCGTGTTTCATTCCCCCCCCCCCCAAGGCTTCTGCCACTTAGGCAGAAGGGTCTGCTTCATGCCATAGGGTCTGCAGTAACATATCAGGGCAGACTGATTCACTACAGGCGTATTTTTCCAGTAATAATTTTCTAGGAATATATTAGATATCCTCTTCCTCCCTTTTCTATTCAATTCAGTCAATTAAATTCAATGTACAGTTCATGGGAAAGGGGAGAAGAGACAGTTATTCCTGCCACATTTATTGGTTTCTCACTGTAATATTTCTGTCCAGCTGTGGTGCTAGTAGTTGAACTAAAACAGTCAAATGAATGCTTGAGAATTGTTTTAATGCCACCATGAGCACCAGTCCCTCTGCCTTCTGGACACACAAGGGTGGGTAGTGTCAGCCTCTCCTAAAAATCAACCCTGTAAAGCAAACAAGTCTGCAGTCTACCTTTGTTCTTTGCTTATTTGAGGAGGGAATGGTCTCATGGTTGTCAGACACTGTATGTCCTAGGTATTATGTGCAGCTAAATAAAAGGCTTAATAGTGCATTTAAAGGTGAATTGCCAGATTTAGTCTTTCCAGCCATTAGACAAAAACAAACAATCAAACAAAAAACCCATTAATCGTGTTTTGTAGCCTAGCATTGAGATTCTGGACCAGGTTGTGCTATGCTAATTTAATAATTGCCTACAAATGAATGCCAACCTTTCATTAGCAGCTGACTAATTACGAAAAAATGAAGTTAGTTGATTCTTTAATTGCTCTACACTGTAATTAATTAGCAAGGATTCCCCACCTAGTTTTTTTGTGGTGGCTACACTGCTACAGGATAATATAGCTCATGTGGCACACACCAGGCTGCCTGTCTGAGCTCAGAGTGATGGTGATATTTTCTAGGCACATTCTAAGTAATTTCAGTGTTCTCTCCCACTCTCACAGGAAATTGTCAAAGACCCCAAGTTTATCCTTGGAGGAGCCACAAGAACTGATATTTGCCAAGGGGATCTTGGTGAGTGATTCCCTCTGGGTATACACCTTCATGCCTACACCCTGTGAGGAGCAACAGGAATATCCTCAGACATGAGGGGATGTTGTTCCTCCTGAACTGGTGGAAGCAGTGAAGCTGGAGGTACTGCCCATGCTTACCTTGCCCACAACCACCTCCTTGATAGCCTCCCATCCATGCCAGGGACCACCATGGTGCAGTGGGATTCAGGATCAGGGAAGGATCTCCACAAGAGGGTACTGTGAGCCCAAGGGAGCCTTTTGTCTACCACCATCTCTAAACTGCAGCACAGTCTGCCTGGACCAGGCAGGGGCACCCTTTCTGGGAAGACACAGGCTGTCTGTCTTTTGGATTTCAAGAGGGATGGCAGCTAACTGCCATAACATCTGCTCTGGTCCCTACATCACCTTTTGCTCTTGGAGGTAAGAAAATAAGGATTTTCTTTCCCCTTCTCAATTCACAGGTGACTGCTGGCTATTAGCAGCCATAGCTTCTCTTACACTGAATGAAAAAATGCTAGCAAGAGTGGTCCCACTGGATCAAAATTTTGGGCCAGATTATGCTGGAATATTTCACTTCCAGGTAAGATGAACATCTTGCATAGCATGAACACGTTTCTGTCATTACATGTCACGGTTTATTTTGCAGTGAGATTGTTAGTTATTGTAGAGAGACACTGAAAAAAACAGGGGTGGCTAAGCTTACACTGTTTTCCATGTTTTGAGAAACAACCTAGAGGGCTACACCAGCCTCACACAGGCACACTTGTAGCCACTTCTGCTATGGAAGAGATATATGGCTTTAGAAATCATTTTGTATCTTCCTAAGCACACAAGCCCCACATAGGATATAAGGCCTCAAGAGAGCTGGGCTGGGATCTGTAATACATGTGTGCCTTAAAGGTGTTGAGTCCATTGTATAGCTACATGAGTGGTATTATCCAGATAAGGATAAGTTCTTCACTTTTAGTCTTAGTCTTTTCTTAGGATAGATTACCCTTCCTTCAGAGCCGCTTGGCATGGTGTAGTGGGAATGGATGATTTACATATGACTTCTAATGAAGCCTATGATTGTCACTAACTTCCAATTAGAAGTGATGGGACACCAGAGCCCTGTGTTCAGGAAATTACATACTGTCAGCAAACGCATTTCTCATTCTGTCTAAATAGTTTTGGCAGCACAATGAGTGGCTGGATATTGTGATTGATGACCGACTACCCACCTTCAATGGCCGCTTGGTTTTCCTGCACTCAGCTGATCACAATGAATTTTGGAGTGCCTTGCTAGAGAAAGCCTATGCCAAGTAAGTCACACTGTACATGTATACTTTGCTGTTTGTACATGTATTATTCACAATTTTTACATACATTATTCACAAGCCCAGGGAATAGCTTCTATCCAATATTTCGTGGTGGTGGGGGGGGATTTTTGCATTTGCTGCTGCCCGCATCAAAAGATGTTATGTCTGTCTCTTGTGAGCTGGTCCAGCTTCCAGCACGTCATTAGACACAGACCTAGCTGATAGCAATAGAGTCAGATCAAAGCCTGAGTCCTGCCATTTGTGTCTGCAGAAACCTGAACTGAGGGCTCTGCCTAAGTCTATATTTTTAAATGATTTGGCAGGTAGCAAGCCACTGACACACAATGATATTCAGTCCTTGCCAACACAACAACTGGCATCAAAGAAAGAAACACCCCAGGCTTTAAGGATATGGAGAAATAAATTAATTAAAAATCCGATTAACAAGCAAAGTGGAATTATCCCAATACTCTTCACATATATCTTGGGCACATTCTGGGGTACTTCTTTTTATTTCAGTGCTGCAGTTTTACACCAGTGTGAGAAAGCTCTCATAATAGGTATTTCAAAGTTTTGAAAGCATGTCTCATGGTCAGCATGTGTTTTCCAGGCTGAATGGCAGCTACGAGGCTCTGAAAGGAGGCAGCACAATAGAAGCCATGGAGGATTTCACTGGGGGCGTAGGAGAAATGTATGAGGTTAAAAGGGCTCCTGACAATTTCTATGAAATCCTAGAGAAAGCTCTGAAAAGGTGCTCAATGGTGGGCTGCTCTATTGATGTAAGTATGAAATGGGCTCTGAATTTCTCAGTTTAGTTTTGTGTTTTCTGCAGTTAAGAACACTACTTTTAAAAGCCAGCTAAGTAAATGACAAGTAGATGGATATGCACTTAAATCTGCAAATAATAGCTGTGAACTGATAGACATGTAATATTAACATAGACCTTAGCACAGTTGTTTAAAACGAAAGAGTCATCACTTTTCAGCAGGTGATGGCCACTGTATTTAAGGCAATAATGACAGGAGTATGAGCACTAGGTGAGAGTGAACTTCCTCTCCTGACTTGTTTGGTCACTTAGCATTAAAATTTGCCATAGTTTCTTGAGGACTTTCTGGTTCCAGAGGCTACAAAATTGGTTTTGTTCAGCTCTGAGTGATGTAACAACACCTGTGAGTACTTGGGCAACTCAAGACAATTCTCAGGATCAGTGTGTTTGTTTGTAAACAGGGGCTGTAGCTCATAGTATGCCAGGTCTACCCCTCTAGAAACTAAAATCTCCAGCTTTCCCAGGGGGAATGTTGCTGGTGGGTAGCAGATGCACAGGCTACTTACACTGCTCCATCAGTGTGTCTATCCAGGTTAAAAGCAGCTGTCCATGTGTCCTTGGCTTTCTGGTGAAAAATGCCCAAGCTGCTCAACAGCAAGACTGAAAGCCCTGTTGCTGTTCCTTGCTGACTGTGGTCAGTGAGAAGGGCAGTTTAGAAACTTTAAAAGTGTGCCAGATTTCTCCACTAGAATGAGCAGCTGGAGAAAAATCTCACCAACCACAAAATGTTTGATTTCCCTTTCAGACACTTGTAACAAAGACAAAGGAATTTCCCCAGCTGAGGGAGAAGGAGAGAGGCTTTTGTTTGCCCTCTGCCCAAGACCCTTATCACTGAACATATGGCTGGGCTAAGGGACACCTGTTGTCTCAAACCCATTGCATCCCTGACTTGAAAGCAGGTCTTTTCCTCAGGCTCTCTCTTTTACTCAAGACTATGCCCTCAGCTCTGGTGTTCATTGTCTTCTGATTTGTGTTTTGCTTTCTCTCCTGATGAAGCTTTGCTGCTTGCAAAGACTATTAATTATTGAACTAGAGAGAAAGGGTGATACTCAGCCGGCCGATGGGACCCTTCACTGTCATCACTGCTCCATCAATGTCTTTTCACATGAAATGAGACCATATCAACACTTGATCTCAGTCTGAGAGCACCTTTTCCCATCCCTCAGCTGATACAAACTACATTTGAATGGGAGTTAAGATTGACTTCCTGGAAATGTAGATGATGTTTATACAGAATGACAGGGGCAGAGAAGGTGTTTCAGTCTGGAACTACCTTTTATTCCCTCTGAATTAACAACGCTAAAAAACCCTCAAATCCCACCTTTCCTTTCCTCAAAGGACACAATTCCACCATGACTGTGTGCATTGAGCAGACAGACAAGTTCCTTGTTCATAGTACTGGTTAGCCACTGGCCTCCCACCTGATGCCTGGAAAGGACAAGGTGGCACCACTTGTGAGGGGGCCCTGAAGGGGGAGATTCACATTTTTTTTCCCGTCTTTCAGACCAGCAGTGCTGCCGAGTCAGAAGCCAAAACTCCCTTTGGCCTTATAAAGGGCCATGCTTACTCTGTGACTGGCATCAACAAGGTATGTTCAGCAGCACGGGGCAAGGAGAGACCTGGGGAAAAGATGAGGGGGTGTTCCCTAACCTGAGGTGACTGGGAGTTATCCTGGGGGAGTTATCCAGATTCCCATCCATCTTTCCCTCCCACAACTCCCATATCAGTCTGCACCTTTTGCCCAGCAGTTCCACCAGCTCGATCAGCCTCTGCTCACTGGAGAAGTCCTGCTCCCCTCGCTACTGACACTTGGTGTTGTCTCTGTTTCCTTCTTCCCCAGGTGAGCTATCGAGGCCAGCAAGTGCAGCTCATAAGGATAAGGAACCCCTGGGGACAGGTCGAGTGGAATGGCCCTTGGAGTGACAAGTGCGTGTGCTGTCCCATACCTGCTGGCATCACCAAGGCTGCAGCCCCACAAACAGCTTTCTGCAGCTCCACAGCCAGCTTTCTGCAGCTCCACAGCCAGCATTCTGCAGCTTCACAGCCAGCTTTCTGCTGCCCCACAGCCAGCTTTCTGCTGCCCCAGCTATTCCACAGAAAATTAAATCAAGAGTTTGCACATGTGCAACAGTATTACTGCCAAATTAACATGTCACCCTCAGTATTTGTAAGGCTGCTTAATTATGGGTACACTGTAAAAGTTGTTTAGTGCCCAAAAGCTAGCATTAGCAAAAAATATTGATTAATACAAATGGGATAATTTAAGATAGTCCTGATTGGAAAAAATATACATTTGGAGTGATTTTTCAGATCAGATGAAAAGTGATACTGTATTACTCCCTCTAAGTAGCTTATGAGCCTCCAGTTGCATTTACTGTTCTGGGTTTCTAAACATGTCAGGAATAGGCAGGAATATATGACCATTAAATGAGACCAACAAAGTTGTGGTAGGACCCAAAACAACCAAATTAGTCTGAAAATCAGCCTGTGTTTACTACCAAAGGTGAACAAAGTGTAAATAATAATAAATATACATACAGTAAAAACCAACACTATATTTCCCCTCAGCATACACTTTTCAATGTATTTTTGCACATATCCATGGCTTAGTTTTTGTTTCACTTTCTTCTACTAAGTTTTTTTGATTCATACAGGTGTAGAGGAGTCATAAACTGCCTGGCTCTTTAAAATTGCTGAGACATGTAGTCATCTATAGGACTACTCTGGATGTCCCTGTCCTTAATACGACTCAGAAATATGGATTTCCACATTAGCTCGGATCCTTTGTTATCTTGAAAAAGAAAAATATGGATAATTGGCATAGATCTCAAAAAATATGGAGAGTTTAAGATCAGGACTAGTATCTGGCAATTTGTGTTGTTCATTGAAAAGGCTGTCTCTGCAAAGCAGGGCTCTGATTCTGCACTTGGGAGGGTTTTTTTAACTTAAGTTGCAGAGGACCTAGAAGATCAATACAAGAACTGCATTAACATTTTTTAGTTGTTGCTGGAATTATCCTCAGCAGAAGTTGTCTGCTACTCCCTGTTTATTATATCTGATCAAAAATGTAGTGGGATATTTCCAGTTTTTCCAAAAAGCTGTAGCAGGTTTTTGTTTGGTTTTGGCGAGCTGCAATTGGAGTTGTAGGGGTGAATGAAAAGGAGGAAAAGACTTTACCTGGCACCCCAGTAACTCCATCAAATCTCTCTGTAAGGGAGAAGGAGCCTGTTCAGTTCCTGTTGACTCAATTTTGAAGGAACACCTGGCCCTAAGTTATTGACAACCATAAAAGAGGAAATGGTACAACAAATGAAAAACAGATTTAAGGAGGGGTGTGACCAAAATCTTGAGGTTTACCCATAGCCCTGTTATACCCAAGCCCAACACCTGGCAGCTGTCCCAACTCTGAGTGCAGGCAGTAACTCATGAAGGACCATCCTGGAGCAGCTTTGGGATCTCTGGCCTGGTCCTGCTTCCAGCTCCATTATTTGGGTTTCCTTGACCATGAATGACAGTGGGACTTGGGATACCTCCTAAATGCATCTATGTTTGTGTGGGCCACTCAAATAAAACACATTTGGAAGAAGACCAGCCTGCTGCTGTGTCCAGCCAGTAGTTCTGAGCCAGGCAAAATGAATTGCCACATACCCACAGTAAAGCTTGGTTTGGTTTTCTTGCAGCTCTCAGGAGTGGCTTTCAGTGAGCCCGTCGGAGCAGAGACGCCTCTCTCAAGAAGCACTGGATGATGGAGAGTTCTGGTAAGCCACAGGTTTTTTAAGTGTGTGGCTCTAGTCAGAAGTCAAGGCACAAGTGGCCCAAACAAGCAATAAGGAAGAAGTCTGTGTGAACAAACACTCTGCTTCTGCTTCGGAGAGGGCAGGTGGAATGCTCACTTGGCTTTCTTTGTTTCCTGTGTGTCCATGTCTATTTTAATAACAAAAAGCATTTTGAATGTCAGCTTAGTTGTAGCATTAGCATATTTCAAATACTGTGAGTGTCCCATGAATGTAACACTCTTAATTCCTTACCATGAACAAAGGAGACTCTACAGAAGGGAGCAGTGCATTGCACTGTGTCACCTATGGAATGCCTTCAGGGATGATGCTAGGCATACCCTGGAAGGGAAAGCAGTGCCGAGAAGCAATACTACTTGCTACTGAAAGTAACACCAAGATATATAAGAAACTATGGGAAGTTTAAAGAAAATATTAAATGGGGGAAAAAAACCAAACTGTAGAAATTGCTTTAGAAATATGTTCTTTGTGCCACATTCAAGACAGAGCAGATGGCTGACTTGTACATGATTCCCCCCTATATCAAGCATGCTTTACACTACTGACAATGTGTCTGGCCACATTTTCTAAGGCCAGATGCTCATCATTTTAGAGAGGTAAATCTAGAGAGGTATGCAGTGGGGCTATTTCAGATTTTTCCTCCAAGTTAAATCCAAGTTCAACTTGAGGCCTGAAAAGTAATTTGAGATACAAAATGAATCAAGTTAAGTCATGTAAAATTATTTATCCCAAAACTTGATAGGTAAGTCCAGTGGCTGATCCATTACTTAAATATTTTTAGATAGGATATTTACCTGGAACCCACATAACTGCAGCAAGTCTCTCAATACAGAACATGACTAAAGTCTTACTGTGTAATGGAGGTAAAAGTGTGCAAGTAGGCATCAAATGAGCAATAAGATTCATGAACAGTCACCTGCTAAGCTGATAGTTAAGTCCTGAGAAGGCCAGGAAAATCAATGAAGTTGAGTATACCCAGACAAATGTTTGGATTCCTCACCCAGCATCTCAGCCATTCAGAGCTGAAACAAAAGTAAGTGGGGCTGAAATTTCCACAGAAGGGGTTAAGTGGAAAAAAAATCATATGCAGGAGTTAAGAAATGCTTCCAAAACCAGTCATGCATGTTTGATGCCTGCTAGACTCTCCACCCAGACTTATTTTTACTAGTGCCTTTGGACTTCTGTGTATTTCTCTAAGGAGTGTTTGCCCCTTTGCCCCCTCTAAGCCACACCTTGATGGTTCCCCTGTTAGGCTTCACATCCAGACTTTGCATAAACAATGATGTCATATATCACCAGAGACATTAAAATATTCAGATAAGGAAAGAAATGAAAATAGCTGCTTCTCCCCACTTTTTAGTTTGCTCCTTCAGTGGTTCTTGCTGATGCAGTTTATCTGAGTAAACAGTGAATGAGCTATAGTCCTACCTCTGCAGCTGAGGACCTTCAGTGGGTGTGTTGACCACTGCTGGTGGTGGCTTGGCTTGCCTCCCTGGGAAGCTGGGGTAATCTTTATGAGGTGCTTTGAAACCCACTGCTAGAAACAGCGAGTAGCAAAGTAATTAGGTCCTCCAGAGTTTGAAATATGTTCTACGTGACACACATTATCTTTGGGCTTAGCAAAAAGCCTAAGGTGCAATGGGGCTCTTCTCCTTGTTGACCACAACTGGTTTCTACTGAAGTAAACTTCATAGTAAACTTCACAGTTAGTGAGCTCCTTGTACATAATTTCTTATGCGTCTGGAAGCTGAAAGGGAGACCAGGAAAGCTACTATGCATTCATGAACAACTTAAGTAACTGTGCTTTAGCTTTTGGACCTAGCTTATTCCATGTGCTGACTGCACACAATGCAATAGTAATTTCTACTACATGAGCTCATTTTTGTTAAATGAAAGAGAACAAGAGGAAGAAGAAATGCACCAGTTTATTCTCATGTATTGTGTTAGATGTCATCCTAGGTGGAACAGGAAGGCTAGGAGGAAGGGTAGCGCAGCAAGGGAAATTAGATTAAAAACAATAGAAAATATAATGCAAGATCAGTGTAATATCACCAGAGTGTCTTCAATCAATGCAAAAAAGGCAGCACAGTTGTAGAGGACTCCATGGGATAAGGCAACCAAGGTGAGAAACGTGGTCTGATAAGAACTTTTGTCCCTTTTGTTCTTTGGATTTGTGAGGACTGAAGAAAATCTTCTTGGTAACATGCTCAAGGCCTGCTGACCTCATTAACTACCCCAATATTTTTTTCTGCTACATATTAGCATATTATATTGGTGGTGTCCAGATGCTTCTAGCAGATGTGAAGAAGGCATCCTGCTGTTGGCTAAGAAATCAGCTTCTTAGTCACCCTAGTCCCTTCTCTCCTATAATCAGAGGGTCAGGGTCTTCTCTTCACCACTACAAATGCAGGATGGCCCTAGGGAATTTAGAAGAGGTGGTTTCTCCTTAGAAGCCAAATCTGATCCATAAAGTGCTAGTTCTTCATCTGCTTTGCAGCACATTTCCAAAAAGTCCAAAACTACATAGTGTGGCCAGGAAACTGAGCCACTTAGAGAAAGATTTTGCTATGCTGCACCTGCTCTCTTGTGCTGAGCATCAAAGTGAGAATTAGCAGGGCCTAGGGCTAGCAATACATGGAAGTAGCCAACAAGAAATTGGACTGAGCTCAGGAAAGCAAAGCCTGATGTTTCTTCCTGCATTAAAAACAAGTCATAAAATGGCCCGTAGCAAGTGTAAATTAAAATTATCAAAGATATCTATTCCTTATGCAGCAGAAAAATGGAGGTAGCTGTGTTTGGTGAGATACAATGAGGGCTAGCTGGGTCCTATCTGCCACTGCTGCAGATGAACATGTAGTCCTGGAGAGCTTTTGCTCTCCTGCTGCTCTGTTTTTTTTCCGCTAGGCATCAGCCTCTGGAGGAAAAGGATAGTTAAGGAGTTCACATTAAGGAGGAGATCAATTTCTCCATGTTATTCTTATGGTCCATGGAGAGAGAGGGGCTCTTATAGAGCGTGATTCAGAGCAGAGGACACATCTGGAGGCTAAATTGCCCTCAGGAAAGCCTCTCTGCTTTTACAAATGGAAATTCAGCCCACCAGGACTACCCTTGATCTTAGAGCATGTGGGCCTCTTGTGTCCCAAGTGCCAACCATGCAAGCTGCCCTGTTTGGTTCCTTTTGCCTAGGGCTGCACATGATGCCAAGTGGTGCCTGGCTCTGGCTGTCCCTTCTCCTGGCTGTTTGCTCAGTTCTGAACTCCAGACTTTGCCCTTTTACTTGAGAGATAAAATCTCATGGCCTATCTGCTTCTCAGCATGCCATGTGCTAGTTTCAACCACTCCAGCCTAGCAGCTTAGAAACATCCATATTGTGGCATTTGCTTTCTCCTTCCCATGGCCATGTATATATGTCTACCCTAGGTATAAATAAAATATATGTAGTGCAGTTGACCTGACACAGTAGTAAGCAGCGGTGTCTACACCACCTTTAAAGACAGTTTTGAACTGCTACTCAAATCCAAACACATATTTTGTCCCTCATGTTTGGTGTGTGTTTTTGCTAGGCAAGAACCCAGGCACCCATAAGAAGGGGAACATAAGCACCCTGAGCCTAGGCACCTTAGCAAATGCCCAAATATAACTTTAACTGCAGTGTGGACAGGCTAATTGTACCATGGCTTGGCCAGTCCATCATCATGTGTCCTTTGTAGTGCTGTCATGTGGCAGGCATTGGACACACAGCTGATTTGTAGGCAGACTTAGCTCCTGCACATATGCCAGCTATCCTTTGGTTGGCTCTTCAGCCATATAGATGTGGCCATTAAGGCCAGGATGGTGTTGGTGAAATAACTCTTTTAAGCATTGGTTTTGTGCTAGTGTCAGTTCCTTTTATCTTATACTCAACTCTAGCTGAGTAAAATTAACAGAGTTGTAGAGCAAAAGTAAAGGTGTAAGAGATGTCAGAATCAGATCCAGCCATGAAGGTTGCTTAGGTTTTACACCACAGTGAGTGAGAGCTCACTTCTCCTCTGGTGTACATCAGCACATCTCCACAGTCCCTGAAGCTGTTCAGATCCACACAAGCTGGTGATGCAGCCCTGGAACTCTGGGGAGTAAGTACCTTTGCCTTTTCCTTCCTATGTGTTTCACCCAGGATGAAATTTGAAGACTTCAAAGTGCATTTTGACAAAGTCGAGATCTGCAACCTGACACCAGATGCCCTGGAAGACAGCACTGCCCACAGGTGGGAGGTGACCATCCACCAGGGGAGCTGGGTCCGGGGATCCACCGCAGGAGGATGTAGAAATTTTCTAGGTAAATAGATACTGCTCTTAAAATGAGGAGCAGGCACTGGAAGTCTTTACTCACCCTCAGCATACTCTCCTGTTACCCCATGGGCAGAACTGTGAGTGCTGGCCAGGCTAGGTGGGTCTCAGCTCGTAGGAACCAGCCAAAAGGACAAACGTTCATATGGTCCCACTTGAGACTTTGTGGTAGAAGAGCTGCTTTCTTTGCTCTCAAGTTCATTGGATCTGATTTGCCTCTTATTTACATTTTCATGACCAGGACTAGCTCCAAATAAGTCACTTAAACTGCTACAGTAAGTGTAAAATGAGACAAAAATCTAGCCCAGCCAGCATGTTTATATGGCTCCAAAGTAGCAACATGGATCTGAACTGTGTTACTGCAGACTGGCACAAGCACTATGGGATCATTGTAGCTACATACTTTACAAAATCCCATCTGACAACTTTATTTAAACCACAGTAACTTGATAAAATATCAGGCCTAGAATCTTTCTACACCTACTTCCAGGAAGGACTTTGGGATTTGGCTTTTTTTCTGCAGAGCTTAGTGGAAAGAAAGAAGCATGACAGCTAGTGGAAAAATGACATTTGAGCAAAACCTCAGCTTAATTGTCCCTTTTGTCTTCAATTTTTTTCAGTAGTAGTAGTGGTGTTATTTTTATTCTGAGGCAAGAAACTCTCTGGTATTCTTTTCATTGGCAGAGACTTTCTGGACAAATCCACAAATCAAGCTACACTTGACAGAGAAAGATGATGGACAAGATGAGTGCACATTCATAGCAGCACTGATGCAAAAGGATCGCCGCAAACTGAAGAGGCTTGGAGCTGAAATGCTGACCATTGGCTACTCTATTTATGAGGTACTCTATTGCTTTTGCAGAGCAGTAGCTGCACTATCAGTATTAGCATCTTTCTCTGGGTTTGTAGCCCTGCCAGCCATCATGTATTTTTAGGGCTCTCGCTCTTAAAATAATCTCAATTACATCAATCCCCACAGAGAATTTTGGTGTGGTTGGGATCAAGTCCTCTCAGAGGAGGATTTAGGAGTCCCTGCAGGGCCATGGGTTCCCAAGGTAGACTCCTTGGCCCCATTATTCTGTCATTCCCTGCCTGGCTCCTGGAGAGGTGATGTTGCTTCTTATGAGTCCCTTAGGGTACATCACACACAGGGGTGCCTGTTCCTGAGTGAGGTTGGGATTGGCAAATCTGTTGTCACTGCTCCGTGACACCCCACCTGGGATGGTGATATTTAATGGCAGGGAGTGTTTAAGCAGGAAGAAAATTCCCCAGAGTCCTCTTAGACAGCCTTCTGGGTGGGAAAGGACCAGTGGTAGTGGATCCTTGCCATGAGGTGGGAACTGGGCTGCTGCCAGCACCTGGGTGAAGGGTAAGAGTCAAGGTCACAGCTCGGGGAGAGGCTGGTGCCAGGCAGAGTTTCGCTTTGTGTTTGGGAAAGGGGCAAGAATGGCTCCTACCACACCCTGAGCAGTGCAGTGCTGTCTCAATTTCCCCTTCTAGAGCCCTGGCAAAGATGGACACTTGGGCAAAGACTTCTTCAGGTACCACCCCTCCAAGGCCAGGAGCAAAACCTACATTAATTTAAGGGAAGTATGTAACCGATTCAAGCTGCCACCGGGCCATTACATTCTTGTTCCAACCACATTTGAGCCACACCAGGAGGCAGATTTCTGCCTGAGGATTTTCTCTGAGAAGAAAGCCATCACTGAGTAAGTCACTAGGGAGCCCCGGGCCCCCTGATGCTCACCTGCACATGGGGCTGTTGGCTGCTGGGGAGAGCCTGGCTGCCTGGCACCCAGCCCTACAGCAGAGCCTTGGCATGGGAAGCTCCTGATGGTTTGGGTTTTTTTTTTTTGCATTTGCCCATTTTTGTTAAACCTGATGTGTTTTGGAGAGGAATTTAGGAGGTGGGGAAGTAAGGCTTGGTATGATGAATCTGCTGGAAGCTTGACAAAGAATGAATCTGTGAGTGCAGCAGGTTTTATTTCTTGTTTATTCCTGTTTGTTTCCTCCCAAAGTTTGTCCAAATGAAAATTTTATATTGAGGTAAAATTGTGTGCACAGTGAGATGAATTCCTTAGCAGACAGCATGCACAGCTGCACCCTCCCTCAGTCATGTTTGAAGTCTGTTTCCTTGTACCAAAATTTAAACAGGGCAAAAATCTGATTGTCTGATGAATTTTATCTAAACTTGACCCCTTAGGTAAAAAAATGCAGTTCTGTCACTCACTTCCGAAAAATGTACTAAGCAAGCTTATACCCCAAGCAGATGTTTAGTATCTTCATATACTGAATAAGGTTTTGTTTTCTCCAGGGATCTAGATGCAAATGTTGCCATTGATCTCCCTGAGGTAAGTCCACGGAGTTAAAATAGCAAGAGAATAGCTCACTAAAAGCCAGCACACACTGCTTTTACTGTCTTGGGCTAAAACATGTTCATTTAACAGGAATGTTACACAATTTCCAGCTTTGTATATGTGACTGAAACAGTCAGTTCTGCTGAATATGGTAAAAGAGCTGTAACAATCAAAATCATAATCACTATGCTTCTGCATCCACTTCAAGGCAGTTGATGTCATCCAGCACCAGAAGTGGGTATCAGCCACCACGAGTGCACTGAAAGCACACCATGAGCCATGGGGAGGTACATGGCTGTTCACATCTTTTAATATTTCATATATTATGAAAAAGGAAGAGGCAAGAGAATGCCTGCAGACCTACATTCGTTTTGCATACAGATACATTTATTTATCAATATCTGTAGGGCTTGGGAGGGAGTGATTGGTACGTGTGTGCCTACTGAAATGATTACATTATTTTTGCTTCTGAATGGTGTGCTCTGCCTGCTGAGCACTAATTGCAGCTGAGTCTGAGTCAGCTCCCGTTTTAGTGTATCCTTGCAAATAAGCCATTTGTTGTGGTGTGCCTTCCCATGGTAACAAGCTAAGCCATGATTTCATGTGTCCCTCTTTAGTAAAACCCCTCCAGGGACCAGCTAACAAGTGCACCTCCATTTCTGGAATCTCAGGGCCATGTTCAGTAGCAAAGTAAATCTGTTCATCTGTCCCGGTATCACTAAGGGACTGCACCCGAACGGTGAGGGTGATGGAGCACTGGAACAGGCTGCCCACAGAGACTGTGGAGTCTCCCTTTCTGGAGACTTTCAAGACCTGTCTGGTTGTGCTTTTGTGTGACCTGCCCTAGGTGTTCCTGCTGCAGCAGGGGGAGTTGGACTCAATGATCTTAGAGGTCCCTTCCAACCCCTAATACTCTGTGATTCTGTAATTCTTTGCGCTGCTGATACTGCTCAAATACTAAATATCCCTTTAAAAAAAAAACTAAATAAATAAATCAGACCTTAAATCCATGTGTATATCACACACTTGTAGATAAAGAGGGGCAGTATTAAGAGTGAGAACTTGTTGCACACTGAATATCTACACTGTCTTCCTGTGTGGCACCAACATCAAATCAGATGGTTGTGCTTCTGTGCGATCTGCCCTAGGTGTTCCTGCTGCAGCAGGGGGGGTTAGACTCAATGATCTTCAGAGGTTCCTTCCAACCCCTATGATTCTATGATTCTATAAACTTACACATGGTCAAAAAAAGTGTAAGTGGCCATCAGTGTCACCAGGTCTCTCTGGTGACCGTACACAAAACAGCACCCATGTTATACCTTCTGCAGGCAGAGAAAACAAAGCCTGATTCTTTGCTTCCTGTCCTGTGCTGTTGCTTTCTTTTTCCTCATATTTTTGGCCCCAGGATTCCCCTATTCACATGGTCACCCGAGCAGTGGCTCTGCACTATTGCATTTCTCTACTAATCAGTGTAGACTAAAGCCTGGGCTCTACAACCCTGTGGCTGCACTGAGGCACTCAGCTGAAAGTGCTTCCAGGCTTTGGATGGCTCTGGGTAATGAGCCAAAGTGCAGCCACCTCTGGTGGTGGCCTCAAGAGGGGAGAGAGGTCCCTGGATGCTGCTGCTGGAAAGAGCTCAGCAGAGCTGTGGTTTAAGAACTGGGGAAGCAGAGTGGTGCCGGGATGGGATGAGAGGTGTTTTCCAGGGTGGGTGCTCTTGGTTTTGAGATGATGACAGTGGCAGACTATGCAATCACCCAGGTGAAGGAAATGAGGGGGTGAGATTTTCTTGGGCAGCTAGATGGTTGGGAAGCCTCAGGCTTAGCAATGTTCAGGAGCATGTGTACCCTTCTTTTTAGAGGCACTGTGGTCTCCTGATGCACAGTGGGGCTCTGTGTGGATCAAATGTCTAGTTTCAGAGTTCTTTTATTACTTGTGTGGTTGATGTTGCAGCCTCCAAACACAAGCCCACAAGAAACTGAAGATGAAAAACAGTTCCGGGCACTCTTTGAGCAGATTTCAGGAAAAGTGAGTACAAAACCCTTGTGGGTCGTGGCAAGATGTAGAAAGAGGGGAGATATTTCTGCTCCCACCCATGGCCAGGTGAAACGAAACCGCTGTATTTTGGGGGGAGTGTGCTTGGCTGTAGTGTGTTGTTTGGGCACCAGATGTCACCATGCCTTATGTCTAGGTGGAGAAGGGTGCAGTCCCTGGTGAGCAAGCAGGAGGACCAGAGCTAGAACTGAAGCTCTGAGCGAGCCTACCTGGTTCAGTGTCCAACTGCAGGTTATTTTTCTTTGAATCAATGGATCCTGCTTGGGATCTCTTTCAGGCAGCCTTGTGCACTGCAGCACGCCTGTGTTTTGCAACTCCTATAGTTGTTTCGCCTTTTCTGGGGTGTGCACAGTTCTCTTCCCCTCAGTTGCAATAAAGTACAGATGGATGTTTGTGCTTTCTGAGGTTTTTGGTGTGTCTGATTGGAAGAACAATCAATTAACAGATGCTTCAATTCTATTTATGTATTTATTTATTTATTTTTACTTGAGGACATGGAGATATCTGCAGAAGAACTTGAATATGTTCTGAATGCTGTATTGAAGAAAAGTAAGTGCTGATAATCTCTAAGTAAAGGGCCATTTAAATAACTTTATAAAAGCTCCTATTAATTTCATTTACAGATAGAAAAGAAATAGGCTGTCTTATGGCTCCTGTCTAGTGTCCTTTAGCCAGCCAGAGCAGAGCCAGGAAAACATCTGGTCCATGATATAAAAACAAGCTTGCATGGCCTCCAGCATGATCCATGTTAGCTCAGTGAAGCCAGCTCTCCATTGCATTACTGCTCTGCCGTGGAGGGACAGGCACTGGGCTGGGACTTGTAAGACCTGGACATAGTCCATGACCCTGCTACAAGCCCTTTGTACAATAAGAAACCTGTCTCTCTCTGAACCTCATCTCCTGATTTACAAAACAAGGACAGTATGTCTTGTCATCAGTAAATACCTCCTCTGTCTGGACTGTGACTTCTCTATAGTCTTCTTCTTCTAGTGTACACGTCCTCCCACAATGAGGACTAACAACCAGCTATCTCTGTGTATTAAATCCTATTTTCAGATTATAAAAGGCAGATTTTCTCAATAACTTTTTTCTTACTCTTGTCCTTTTTCAGTAAAGAACATTAAATTCAAGAACTTAAGTCTCATTTCATGCCGAAATATCATTTCTCTTATGGATGTATCCTTTCAACTAAGTGTTTGTGAGGCTAAATGAATGCTGGATATAATTGCCCATAGCATTACCTGTCATGGATATTAGAGATGGATGTGTTAATGTCATGACGGAACACTATGCAAACTAAAAAATTATGTGAAAGTTATATCCTGATTCTTATTTTAGAAATTTAGGGTTAGGACCTTTGAGACAGACCATTTTCTACTGCAGACTGAAAAGCAGAAGCTGAATGTTGTGCATCTGTAAAAGTAAATATCAAATTACTTCTTTATAGAACTGCATTTTTTCAAGCTGTGATTTATTTTTAAAAGGCCTGGAAGAGACAACTCAATAAAAGTCTGTTGTCTGGAGGATTGTATTCAGCAGACAGAGTTGTGCATGCAAGTTGTAGGTCAGCAGAGTTACAAAAATTACTGATGAGCTGTGGAGTTTTTTACAACTAGGTTAAAAGCTGGAAGAGCTGGTCATTCAGCTAGATCCTGGAACTCCAGGAAGCAGACATGTGGGCGAGAGTTGTCTGTCCAGATGTAGACATTTGTGTTGTAGGTGTCTACATCTTAGCTATCTTTCTAGTCTTCCTTTGTAGATAGTGAAAAGGATGGTGTAATTATGCTTGGATGGGCCTAACTGTGCAGGATGCTAAATGACTGCTCAGACATCAGGTGAGATGGATCACAGCCCTGGTACTTACCCCTTTGCAGTGGTCTGGTGCCTGTGGAGTTTGCTTAGCACGGCTTCCCTTCAGGTAGAGCTGCTTTTTGCAGCTTGCTTTCCCAATAGACAATTTTGTTACATGTGAGAAAAAACAGTTGCAGTCCTGAGAAGGCAAGTATCTAACATATGGATTATGTCTTGCTTGTTCAGCTGAGAAATTCTTATATTTTCCTTTTGTTGCTCCAATCCATGACAGGTAACATCCTCTCTAACATTTCTAACAGAAAACCAAAAGAGACAAAACTTTATCCTGTTAAAGCTATGTCCACAATGTTAAAATTCAGAGACGATCAGACATCATGCATATGCAAATGAGAAGCAGGGGACTAGCTCTAAATTTTCTTCCTTGAAAACCTAGCTTCAGTAGGGAACTGGTCCATGTTCACATCTCATCCTTACATGGTATTGGGACAAAGCCAGGGTCTGCGCTTGACCTTGGAGAATGGCAGCAGTCCTAGGTTTACTATTTAGGATATAACTGAATAGTTTCCGTTATTTGCAATGCTTCCAAGCAAATCTCTGCACAGTTTTGAATAGATGGGGAGACATCTCTTCATCTGTTTTGGAAGCACAAGAACGCAGACACCACCATCCTGGTCTGGACGTGCTCCAAACGGAGCACAATGGAGGAGCAAAATGACATGAATGCAAACACGCATCAAGGCTGGAAGACACCCCTTGGTGTCACATGCCACCAAATTCCTTTGCTACTGTCACAGTGCAGTGGCACAGAGGTGGGGCAAAGTCCTACATGACCCCAGGAAGAAGAACCTGGCTGGGTAAAAAGACAAACTTTTTGCAGGAGTGCTAATGTCCTTGGGGTCCCTGGGTGCCCTCAGTAATGTCACCAGTGTAGGTCCTTAAATAACAGCAGGCACTACCTGCTTGGCACATTCTGACCTTTGTGAATGCTTTCTGAGCTGGTGTCTTCCTGAGCAAGGGCTTAGTCCTGACAAGTAAGACGGAAAAGGAGTGGGCCCATTCCTTATTTAGCATTTCAGAGCAAGCACCCCATCGTGCAAGTGAGCTGTGCTTGGGCGACATCATTAACCCAGTAAAATAAATATTAAGACCCACATAATTCAGGCAGAGGGAAGGCCAGGCAGATCTAACCACTTCCTCTCAGAACTGCTATGCAGACATTTTTTTCAGCTAATAGGACCAGATTTTGCCAGCTTCACCCCATGACTCCCATTAATTTTTGGCTGAGCCATTGTAACAAAGCCTGGTCACTAGATAAAAATCAAGAATAGCACATTGATTGACTAACTCCTTCGAGTACAGTAGCAAATTGTTTTAATCAGGTAATTTAATTCTCTGAATCATTTATATCCCATTTACATCCAAAGCTGTTCTTGCTTTGGAACAATCTGTGTCTTTTCCCTGTGGAGCCTGCATTGCTCAGCTGTGCTTTTACATCACATCATGTTCCTCAAGTATCACAGTCACAGTAATGACTGTAACTGCTTGAGCTGCACCTCTTGGGAAGTCCCTGTCTCAGTTTTGGTGGCACCCCAGGCTTTCCAGGCAACGATATGTTTTCTGATTAAAAGAACAGCACAGATACATTCAGATAGAATTTTGATCTTCATGTAACAAAAACTTTTCCTTAATTCACATTACCAGACCAGTGGCAACGGGAAACTGGAATTTAATGAGTTCAGAGTTTTCTGGGAAAAAATGAAGGCATGGATAGTAGGTGACATTATTAATTGTATTTGTTTATCCATTTCATTAGCTATTTCCTGTGTAGTTTATTATGTATGCTCAGACAAAAATGGAGACAGGAGTGTTTACAAGCCATGAATTCTAACTTAAAACAAATGTTTTAAAAGTACGGGGGCTTATTTTGGATGGTCAAAGACCTTATTAGCTTTCCATGATGCTAAACCATAATGGTTTTCTGGAAATAACAGAGATTTTTGTAAGCAAATCAACTATGTTTGGGATAAAGAATGCAATGGGCACTAATAAGCAAGCCAATCAAAATGAAACTTAAGGAATTTCCATTACTACTGTTGTACAGAAAAAGAAAATGATGATTCAAGACTAGTAGGAAACAATGATTTCCTAAGTCACTGCATTTCCATTATTGATCTCTCAGGAGTCAACTGTACTGAAGTCTGGGAAAGTGTGATTCTAATTTTAAACACATTTTCCTGCCACTGTATATGGAAGTAAGAATAAACAGGCTTGCAGAATCAGGCCACAGACTGAATATTAAAATAAAGACATCATAATTGTTTCCTCATGGTCATTAATAGCTTTTTTTCTGAATTCATGCTTCACCCAAGCACTCAAAATATGCTATTCTCTGCTTCTTGTCTAGCCCATCAGAAATTGCAGACACTTTTTCTGGGTACTAATGCCACATCTCTCTTAACAAAGGATGCATTGTTTTTTAACAAGGGGGCTTGAGAAATCCTTGTATCCTGTAGCAAGATTTCCATGTATATTTGCTGGAAAATTTTAAGCTGAATGTGATGACAGCTCTAAATAATTCCTATTCCAAGGAAGAGTTGTGTTTGTTGTCTCATTAAAAGGACAGAACTGAACTCCAGCTTAATAATTATTTTATATTTAGGTCAAAATTCAAACTGTTTGTACCAGTTCTCTTGGTTGTGCCATGAGTGTGACTGTGTAGATTTTCTATACCTAGAAGCAAATGAGTAAGAAACAATCCTAACTTCATGTGTAAAAAATTTGTCTCTGGCCTTCAGAACTATAGAGAAAAACATAAAAAGAGATTAAGAGAATGCAACAGTTATATGTTAAAAGAAAAAAAAAACACAAAACAACAATACATCTTTCTCAGATAAAATAACTTTTTTTACAATAATGGAATTTTTTATAAAGAGCAACACATTATTTCTGAATGCTTGGGTTTGGCAGCACTTGTTTCAGTTTCATAACAACCTATTAATATGACAAAGAAGCTGGGACCCAGATCTGATCCTCAGTCACAGAGTCAGACTTGATCTGCACCAAAGTCTTGACAGCTTTCTCAAATTCTTATGTTATACAGTCAAGCACCTTGCCTTTCTATGTCGTATCTGTGGTCCTTTTCATATGCAAATACTGAACTTACCATGTGCTCCTTTCATAACAGAATATCTTTCTTCAGTTTGACTTTGATAAATCTGGCTCCATGTCTTCCTATGAGCTTCGCAGTGCTCTTAAAGCTGCAGGTAAGATAAGCACTGCATTTTATCTGGGACCCCTGTTGGGCAGACCAACTGTGGATGAAGATGACTCCAGCCAGTAATGCAGGCTGGGTGCCCCCAAGCAGAGAGGACATCTAAACCCCCAGAGAGGACCTAGGCACCTAGAATGGACATTGAATTGATTAATTTTGCCCTAGGTATCCCCAACCCTGCAGGGCAGTCAGTTGGAACAATCTTTAAATTTTTATTGAGCTCTGTTAAACTCAACAGGGTTGCACATGTGCAGGGCTAGACACTGAAAGAAGCCACTTCATCTCCACTTGAGGACAGGGAGTAAGCTGTTTGTTATGAAGAGCAGTCAGTGCATTTGTATTTCATCACAAATTATTTTTTTAAAGCACCTAGATTTTGCAGAAATCCCTTGAAATTTCAAGGAAACACAATGGTCCCTCATACATCAAAAAGTGCACGGACTAGAAACTGCAAGGACTGCAGAAATTCTTTTTCAGAGTTTGTTACTCATCACAAGCTTAAAGAACTTTGTGGTCAAATCGCTTTCTGGATGGCTGTGTGCCATAGAGTATCCTCCTATTAGCTGGTTTCCAAGATCAGTTAGTTAGCAGAGTTGTGCAGGTTCCCCTCCTGGCCTGTGAGTGATGTTGCTCACTTTTCGTTTGTGCCTGTGTCTTTGGGAAGGGTACCAACTCAACAACTACCTGCTGCAACTGATTGTCCTCCGATACTCTGATGAACAGTTCCAGATTGAATTTGATGATTTTCTGAACTGCTTAATTCGCTTAGAGAATGCAAGTCGTGAGTATCTTCTTCCTCTGGAATTTCTTCCCCTTTGAAAAAAAAAAAAAACAAATGTTGCACTTTTGGCTGTCTCTGAGCATATGGTGCAATATCCGAGATCAAGTGTGTACATGGCTGACAGAAAGGAGCTGTATTTAGCATTTGCTTTTAGGGTGGCTTTTCTCCTGTAAAGTGAAAAATGTTCTGTTGCTAATGGAAAATTTCCCCATGTGAACTGAGCCTGCCTCATAAACTGCAGCAACATAGAAGGCATGTGAGGAATGCTGGCTAAGTCCATGTTATAGCCTTTCTAGTGGCTCACCCACAAGCTTAATTTGGGATCACAGAAGTTCAAGGATCCAATGATATTGCTTGTGCTTCATGCAAAGATATAACTGGCATGTGCTTGGACAGGTTATCTCCTGTACCTTTTACTTAACTTGTCCACTTTTGGCTGAAGATGTGGTTCCCTGTACATTGATGCACCCTAGGTCTCAGTTCATTTGTGCTCAGGGTCACTTTCAGTCCAGAGCAGAAGTAGTGGAGGTAGTTAAAATGGCTGGATGAATGATGAAATGGTAATTAGTGTGGCTCCAAGTTCAAATCAGAAGCAGCTCACTCTATGAGAAGCAAAATCAACATTTGTGACTGCTTTTTTTGTTTTGTTCTTCTCTTTACTTTCTGATCTGATCCATGATAGTAGAAGTATTAAACAAGAGAGAGAGAAAAGTTAAGTGAGGTATATAAAGAAATGCAAATTGCTTCATTTTGTAGTATCACCCAAATCTGACTGTTTAGCGCAGCCAGGACACTCACTTCCAGACAAGTTCTGAAGAGAGACTTGCACAAAGGCCTGAAGTCCACAACGCAATTCCTCTTGCAAGGACTTCACTCAGAGAGCCACTTTTGCACCAGGCTGCCCCTCTCCTTGGCACATCCATCCATCTTTGTGGGATGGGGAGGTCATGTATGAATACGAATGAGGTAGGGGTATTTATAGCATTGGTGTCCTGTTTTTCATTTCAGGAGTATTCCAAGCGCTGAGTGTGAAAAACAAGGAGTTCATTAACCTGAATATAGGAGAGGTATGAGCACAGCTTTATAAACACTGACAAAATGATGGACCTTCTCTAGAACTTTGTCCTCTTGTACAAACCAGAGTATGTCTGCATGACACTTCAGGTGACATCTTTGTCCATGAGAGTGCAGGGGCCATAGGCTTCAACAGGCTTGTGGTTTACAGCACATGCACTGGTTACATCTCTTCCATGCTATTTCTCTCCTTCCTTGCCCCTGAGGCATATTGACAGCTTCCCATCACCCTTCCTAGATTCTCTGCTTTTTCCTTCCTTGTGTGCCAGCTCTTGATAGGGTAACAGGGAAGGAGCAGATAGTGATGGGGTGATCTTTTCTTCTCCCTGAATCCCCCACGAGTCCAGGTCAGCCTCTCCTGTGCATGTCTATCATCTGCTTCACACACTACTCAGCACAGGCTGCTTTCTTTTCTTGTGCTCTCTTTGTCTCCCTGTTGCATTTGAGGGTTGTCTCTCATTTTACACTAACCCAACACTTCCTGAGGCAAAGCACTAGGAAGTCTCTGGCACAATAAACATGAGAGCCTGGGTGGACTGCTGAGACACAAACAACATCACTGCTTTTATCAGCTTCTAGTGCTTGGAGAGCAAAGGTCCTCTTCTTGGTGTGGGGTCAATCCAGAGCAAGGCATTGCTTTTGAACATCTTGCTTTCATTTGGGGAAAGAAAGAGTGGGAGGGACAAGGGCCTGAAATAATTTATTGTAAAGTTGATCTTTCTTCCAATATTAGTTTATCAATCTGGCAATGAACATCTGAAGAAGTCTGACTCGGATGCTGGGAGTTCCTTGTGACATTGCTGCTGAGATTTCTGCCCCAACATCTGAGGTCCCCTCTGCATGCAGACTTTGCCAGGAGATTTCATCTGGAGGAACATGAATGCTACCCACCCTATCTGGTCTCCAGCTCTGTTGATGAGTTCAACAGTCAGATCACATTTTGTTTTTATTTTTGGTAAAACCTGATAGTGGATTTATTACTGTGAGAGGCATTTGTATGGGACACACATGCCTCTCAAGTAGACTGAAACTGATGTCTCTGAGTGACCACAGATTTTTATGAAATGGGATTGTATTTAGCTTCAGGACAGACTACAGTGATTAAAAGTCTTTATTGATGCTTGGCTACATTTTACTGTAAGGTGCTTTTGAAAATGCAAGTTTGTGTAAAACTTTGTTTAGTTTGGTATTTATTTTCAGGCATGCTGTGTGGTTACATTACAAGTCCCCTCTTGTATCCATATGAATTGCAGTCTGGTGGACTATGAACAAAGGAAGACTAAAGAATACAGGGATGAAAATTCATCCTTGAAGAGGTCCCTTGTCCGGGCTTCCTTAGGAGGATGCTTAAGCTAAGGTTTGGCATTCATGACAGATTTAATTTAGGAAAAAATGTTGCATCTCACCTTCCCTTAGTCCTTCCTCTGCTACCAACAAAGTTCCTCTGATACTCTGTGGCCTGAGTGTGTCCCACAAGCCACTCTCTGCAGAGCTGCACACAGCTTGCCTTCATTTTCAGAGAAACACATGACCCCTGAGACAGTGAGCTCTTGTGTGGGGCCATTTTCCTTCAGACAGTCTGAGATTGTGTCCCATATCAACCACGTGCCAGAAAAGTAACTACAATCATTTTAGATTAATGAAATCTACCCATTGGTAAGGCCCTGATCTCTGCCATTATTGCCATTTTGTATCTGTGACTTACACAGTATTATTCATGTGAGATGGGTAGCCAGTGGTGACTTAAAAATAACAGTAATACCAGCCAGGGACTTAAGACGTCTTAATAGGGTTTGTTGCCATGATTATCTTCATAATTTATGTCTATTTTATAAAGAATCAACTGTCTGGATTTTTTTTTTTCCTAAAACTTTTCTTGCAGCGAAACAGATGGCCCTAGAATAGCTTTGTCCAGGATCCTTGTCCAGGATCACTGAGACAGCCAGGGTTTTGTTTTCTCTAGATTTAGACCTAATGAGCAATCCTGGAAGGAAAACCAAACTGCAGTAGAGGTGAAGTTCAAACAATGAAAAAACATAGGGATCATGAAGTTTAAAATATCCACTTTTTTTTTTTTTTTTTTTTTTTTCCCTAACAATTATAATCATCTAACTATGCAGAAAATGCTCTGGAGCCAACTGAAAGCTGAGCAAAAAGCCAATGGTAGCCAATGGTAGCAGTGTTTGATTAACTGAGGTACTCCCATGAGGTGCATTGATTTTCAGATGTGCTGATTTTGTGTGCCCTGGACAGCACTGGAGGCAGCTGTCTCCATTTGTGAAAGTTTGGATTAAAATCTAGACATTCTATAAACATTCGGCCACATACTTGAAATGGAAAATCACAGATCCTTAATTGGTTCATTGCGCAAGCTTAGAGGTGTGGGTAGAGATTTGTTGTAATGTGGCATCACTCACAAGCAGTGCAGGAGAAGAGACGCCCTGATGCCTGTTGTTGCCGGTGTGACTTCCTGTTCATCTGCACAGAGCTGGGAATGTCTTGGTGGAATCGGGATTGGTGCAAAAAAGTGATAATAATATTGAGATGGGAACAATGGGGCTCAGGTGACTACTTCCTTTGTATTTAAAAGAAAATTCATGCATTCAAGAAAAAAGCAAAACAACAAACCTTGAGGTGTGTTCTGCCCAACTGGAGCGGTTGCCTGGTGACTGTAGCACAAGGAATTTGAGAACTAACATCTGAGTCCCTTATGAATCAAGCCTCTTTCTGGCCAGCCAGGTCCCCATCCTCCCTTGGGGTTTGCACAACACCCACAGCCACAGCAGAGGTGCATGTAAGGGGAGTTAAGCACAAGAAAACCCATACATACACCTGGGTTGGCCATGGCCACCCAGAGTCTGTTGCAGTGCCGTCCTCATCCCACTGCATTGGCTACAATGATATTATGGGTGCCTGTGCTGAAAGCCTTGCTAAAATCAAGGTGAAGGGTAGCAACTGCTCACCCTTGTCCTATGCTACACCACTTTCTTTCTGCATCAGAGTAAGGCCCACCTTAAAAGGGGAAAATAACCTTAGAAGTAAGTGCATATGAAGATGGAGGATTATATCATGCCTCATAAGGGTTTTTTTCAGCCTGCTATTACACTGCTCATGTGAGTGGGTGAGTGAGAGACATTTGACTTCACAGCCCCATCTGAATATAATAGTCCTCAGCACTGCACCCTCCCTGTCTGAGCAGGAGGGCAACTCAGCGCCCAGCAGCAGGGGTTTCGGCTTGTTGGTCTTCTTTTCTTTTAATCAAGGATATTTTATTTTCCTTCAATCAAGGATCTTGAATCTTGCTGCTTTCTCTGTATATATGTTTGGCTCTGTACTACTATAGGATCTAGGCAAATCATTCATAATTCTCTGAGAAGCTGTGCGAGTGGTACATTCCCTATTGGGGTACACATAGACCTTCCTAGCAAGAACTGTCTCCTGCTGGGAGCCCTGCCTGTCTGCTAATAGCAACATAAATGGGGAACATGAGAGGCATTTTTCATAATCGTATTTCTGGGAAAAAAAAGCCTAAAATTCACCTAGCTACAGGTTTACAACCTAGCATGTTCTCCCACTCCCTCACAGAACCAAAATTCTCTCTCTAAAACCTGCTGGTAAAGGCCCAGGCCAGATGTCAGCTGGGGCTGGCTGCTGCCCTGGTTGTCTCTCCCCTGCTCCCCTGTGCCCTCTCAGAGCCTCAGCTCCCCATGACACTGTGCAGTGTTTCTGAGTTTCAGCAAACAACATCAACTCAATGCATAAGCCTTTTGAGAGGGGATTCATTTGGAGTTTGCCCTGAGCTCTGCCACCTCCACTACCCTTAACCACCCTGATGGTAGATTTGCCAGTGGCATTTTCCTGTCTTTAATAAAGTTACCCGCCCAACCTGTTGCTGAGGCCAGAAAGAATGTAGTTAGTGAAAACTGCCATGAAGAACTCCCATAAAGATGCAAATAGACTAAAAAAAAAATAGCAAAATTGAATTCTGCTATTTTTCTGTCCAAACAGAGACAGAAACACTCTGGGCACAAGTCTGGGCCAGGGTATCTCATGCCTCTTCACAAAGCTCCCAGGAAGCAGCTCAGCAATGCTGAGTCTTCAGAAGCACTATTTGCCTCAGAATTATTATTATTTTTTCACAGGCCTATTTTTATCTCCACTTGGCTCTTTTGAGGGGGCCGCACACTGATGTGTCAGCACAGGGGGAGGCTCAGGCATTGTAGGGTTGGAGAGGGGAGGGAAAGGAATAAAGTGAAGCCTAGCCACCCCACTGCTGGCAGAGCCAGGGTGTTGTGGTAACGTGGTGTCAGGCAGGAGAGACGCTAGAGGTGATGTGGTGATTCAGCTCATATATAACGGTTGTCTTTGCTTCTAGTCATGAAAATTAAATATTTGTGGATAAATACCAAGTTATCTAAGTAATTTTAATTTCAGCTGTTATCTTCTCCCCACTTCTCCCTGGTCTTTCCCCTGAAATATTTGAGTCTTTGTGCTTCTTGACTCGTGTCAGCCTATGTTTTGGAAGCACATCAGAGTGCTGAGGGCAGTTTCTAATGTTCCCAGTAATGCTGGAACTTCAATGTTTTTTAAACGAATTACAAATACTTGCTGATTGAGGTAAACACACAAGCTGTCAGAAATTGCCAACAACTATATTTTGGATGTCAGCCACTTATAAGGGCAAGTGTGTTATGAGCTACTCTCCTAAAAATGCTGATGTTCATCCCTTGCCCTTTGCATGGCCCTTTGAGGGGAGTCAGCTCTGCAGAGCAGGGTTTGGCCTCCTGGGAAGCCTGAGTTCCTCTTCTGAGTTTTGTCCACAGAGGAGTCAAACAGGGCAAGGACAGCAGCAGGCACTAGTCACATAGAATCATAGAATGGTTTGGGTTGGAAGGGATCTTCAAGATCATCTCATTCCAACCCCACTGCATGGGCAGGCAGGGACACCTCCCACCAGACCAGGGTGCCCCAAGCCCCATCCAACCTGGCCTTGAACACTTCCAGGGAGGAGGCATCCATAAGTGCCCTGGGCAGCCTGTTCCAGTGTCTCACCACCCTCAGAGGAAAGACTTTCATGCTAGTATCTAATCTAATTTCTTCCTAACATCCAATCTAATGCTTGTTCTTGTCCTGGCCCAATGAATATACAGTCATAGCCCCTAACCACCATTTTTTCTTTGCTTTTATTTAAAATGCCCTGAACCAGAATGAGACAATGCATTCATCCCCATCTCCCCCAAATACACAGTCAGCATACATGGGTGAGTATTTTCATTTCTAGGTACTTCCCAAGAATACTTCAAGTGTACTTTTTTTCCTGGCCTTCCAGAGAGGAAGCAGCTTTTACCCCCTCAGCTCCAACAAGGCGCTGTGCTCAGGAGTGTCCGTGTTTGATCTGCCTGCCCTGCAGGCTCCCGGGGAAGCTGCCTGATGCCTTTGCCACACCTGAGGGCCGGATTCCCGGACACCTTCGGGACAGGGACGGGGGGTCCCCCCACGGGTGCGGCCGGGCAGGCAGCCCCCCAGGGACACGGCCCGGCCCCCCCCGGTGCTCAGGGCACTGCCAGCATTTGGCCACAGTGGGCCAGGGACACAAACAAGAGTGCAAACAAACTGTCCCGAGGGAGATGGGCTGCCCCGCTCCGGACCCCGCTCCTGCCCACAGCCCGAGCCAGGGTGTTGCCTGTGCGAGGCTTTGGGAGGGGGCTCTGGCGGGCAGGGCCACGCTGAGCTGTCACCTCTGCGAAAGGCTGAGGTTGT